ACTCATCACCGTCCATTGTAAATAAATGATCTTTAGTCACTTTTAAGGTTATCTGATTAATTTGTCGTAAGAGCCTATTTTCTTTTTTCAAAGTAAAAACTGTAGCTCTCACAATTCAAGGTAGAATTTGGCGACTGCTATTAAGTAGGTCTTCATCAATATAGTTGGTCTTTAAGAACGTATGATTTATAGATAATACACGACTGTCATAATTTATGCAACTTTTAATGTTATATGACTATGATGTCTGAATTTTTGATTGACCACAATCAGTAAAAATTCAGCACCTTCTACGGTCAGTCATATGATAATATTAACAGTATTCAAATATTTTCTGCATTCTCCTCATCTGAACTTCTAAATTTTCTCTTCAGTTACTTGGATTGTGTAATATGACAGTCGTAACAGAGAGAAATCTTAAATATTTACTTATTTCGGTGTTTTTCGAATATCCCAGCTTATATTTCCTTGGCCGTAATTTTTGGCCGCCAAGAATTATTTTGATAGCAGAAATCTCCAAGGATATTTTGGCAATTCTTATCTAACGCTGCGCTGAATATCTTTTTTAATAATCTATAAATATTATTGAGGTAGTGGTCATGTTGTTTGTAATTACCCCTATTAAAAATTTTTGCGTTTCTATTTTCAGCTATTAAAAAATAAATAAATAAAAAAGAACACCACTGGCTCGTTCCGCGACGAATGTCGTTGCCAATCCATTGCTCAAGTAATCCACTGCTATCCAGCTTCGTTCTTCTGTTTTGCACGCAATGTGAATAGCAAAGATGTTGGTTTTATATGCATTTTTTTTCTCGTACTTTTGTACACAATGCTAAGCATGTGAAGTAATTCTAGAAGAAGCGTGTAAAGTAAATTCGAGTTCTCTAAGCAACATTGTTATTTGTTTTCATCTTCTCGTGTTTAGTTTTGAAGTTCTGTCTTGGCGAGAAGCAATGCCACCAAGAAAAAGGTAAGCTGGGTTATTGGTTATTTGAATATGACAAAGCACACATACGCGCTCTTCTTAAGGAGATGGGTGCCTCTGTGGAGAACTTCAAGAAAAACTGTTTCGTATCCACGTTACATACGATAAAACCAAGAAAATAAACCATGCAGCCATATCATTCGTCAGGATTATGCCCGAGTACGAACTACCAGTATTCAGCAATTTCTAAACTAAACGTAAGCTAGGATAATTGATAAGTACTCCTATATATATATATATACAGGGCATAACAGAAAAACGTTATGGGCAAATTAATTTTCGCACCTTTATTTTCAGTAATAATCTTTTAAAATATAATTTAAAAAATTCACACATTAAATAAACATAACTTACCAAAATGCAATCTATATATGAAAGCCATTATGTAAATAAATTTAGATTTTTAGCATTTTATAGCATGTTCTTACAGCAAAATTACGATTTTGTATTTCTTACCAGAATTTTGAAAGACAGAATGCTGTAGTCTGAACATATTATCACACCGTTATACTGTTGCTATTACTGTCTAAATATACATATTTTATTTATTTTCTTATATACTTTAGTTTAAAATCAGCGAACATTTTACAAAAGCACAAACGAGTAGGAATCCACCAACAAAGCAGTGTAGAGAGCTTTGTTATTAATGCCACTTTTCCTCTGAGCCGATTACGATTATGATTCAATGCTTGAATTCTAGGAGGGGAAAATATAAATAATTAAAAGAAGGAGAGAAAAAAGGAAGGAAGAGAAACTACTACAGTCGCTCGGAAAAGAAGATGTATTAATTACATAAATTAATATGCGCAAAGAAAATATCTCAAGAGGCCAGTTTAATTTTTTCCTTTGCTGAATATCTTGAAAAGAAACGTAGTAATTTCTTCACGACTAGAACGAAATTTTGCTTTCTTAATTTCATCTTTTTAGGTTGTTTTTTGCTATTAATAATTCCATTTCATTTTAATCTTTCCAGCGAGATGTCTTTTTAATACACACAGCTTTGTTGGGGTGTTAAGAAAAACTTCTTCCTTTTTTTTCGTTGAATGCTTTACCAGAAAGCGTTTATTCTGAAGCATTTATTTGAAATACTTTCCTTACGTTATAATCACATGCTACTAAATCGAGTAAAAAAAGAATGAATTGCCAAAAAAAAAAAAAAAAGGGAAATTTTTAAAAGAAACACGTTATATTAAATTCGCATAAACGTATGAACGAATTTAAATCTGAATAATTTTTATTTTATTAAAAATTTATCGTGTAACATTCTTTTACAAAATTATTTCGATGCTAATGAAAGTTAGAAAATTTAGTTTTCTTTGTAAAATAAATAAACGTGGAAAAAGTCTATGCATAGAATTCCATTTCGGTTATGAATCATTACTCAGTTTTAAATAAAATTCAAAATATATACTAAAAAAGTACATAAAGTTCGAGGTCATTGGTCAAAAAGAATCCTGATTATCCTATCTAAGGAAAAGGTATAGTGAAGTTGTAGGGTTTATATTTATTTTAACTAACATTTATTTTAAGTTTAAACTATCTTTCCTGTCAAGCCTTACTTTCCCCTGGAACTGCCAATGCCAGAATATGTAAATTTGAGTAGAACGCGCAAGGATTCAAATTATCAGCGAAAGTATTCTGATTTAAATAGAAGGAAACAAGTTCGGTGTGAGAGATTCTCTTACTTAGCGAGCGCGGAGGTAGTTAGCGAGAATTGAAGAACCCCGCGTTGCGGCCTATGTGCTTGGCGGGAAGTAGTGGTCATCGTTCCAGTGAGCTTCAAGTCTGCTGAATTAGCAGCGGTATTGTAAAACACGGTGAGTTAGTTATTTTAGAGAGCCTCGTAGTTAGAATCTTGTCTTTATTTTCTTTTCAGGTTATTATTTTTATTTGACTGCCAAGTTGGCACCGTCTGTAAGCGTCAAGAGAACGCAATTGTAATTTATTACGTTGAATAAAAAGGGACTTAAACCCTTCACAAGCTTCTATCTTTTATACAAGTTTTCACAGTCACCTCTTGGTTACGTGCAAGTTGGAGGCGCGCAACGTTATAAAGTAATTATTAGTAAACCTTTGGAACGGGTAACTTCAACAAGTAAAAATTTGAAGGTGAACCTAAAACTAAAATGAAAGTTCATCAAAGCAGCAGTGAAAAATCCATTGAAATTTTGTTAATTTATTATTTTATTTCGTTATTTCTGCGGTTTATATATATATATTATTGAATTAATTTACTTTACAAATGCATTTAAATATTTAAAAGAATTATTAATGCAAATTGCATAAATAATTAAAAATTTAAGTAAAAACTATTTTTATAACTATAAAATGTGATCACAGTTCTTTTTGAATTTAGAAATGCATAAAAGTGAGAAATTATTTTCAGAAATGAAAAGCAAAAATAGGTATCGTTTGTAATTTAAAACTCATATTCCAAGTTTAAGTGAAAAAGTTAATAATAATCATTTGTAAGATCATAAAATAAATTAAGAACTTTAAATGGAAGAAAAGTGAAACATGAAATTTAAAATTAGATTAAAAACTTTTGATGCCTTAATAATAAATGTTTCAATAAAACTCTATTGATTTCGACCGCAATCTTGTACCGGCCCATCTTCTTCAGAAGCTATCTTCTTCAGCAATTTTTTTTTTTACTCCCGGAGATACCTGTATCTAATCGTCTTCAAAATTTGTTCAAAATTCGCACCGAACAAATTAGATCTTTATGCTTAATTTTAAATAAAGACTTATCAAAATTATACATGATTCATTTAGTTGCATTTCACAATGTTCAGATTGAACATATGTAATTTATGTTTTAAATAAACAGTCTTTTGTTAAAGCATTATTTTTTCTTTAAGAACTTGTTATCCTTTAAGATGTTAGTGTTCTTTGGAAGCCATCCACGAATGCAGCCTTCCTCTTAGGCAGATAGCTCTATCGGGCCTTGTCGCTATGAAATAAACAAACTTTATTAAACAAGCCTACCCCAAACTCGTTTTAAATGCATGATTTTTATGGTCTGTACCTTTAATTTATGTGCATTAATCCTTAAATAACAGCTCGTCGTAACTGTTTAGCTTAATACTGTTTCAAGCATTAGCTGAAATTTGAATACGAGTACGAGATTAGAGTGTTGTTAATTATTACTTTTACAATTTTATGTTTTACGTTTTAGTCTTATATTTTTTGCTTTTATTTATTCCTTTATTCATTTATTTATCTACCTTATTTTAATAATTTATTTGACGAAATTGACAAAATCTTTAGTTAAGTGTTAGATGAAATTAAGTGCCCATTAAGTGTTAAATGGTGAAATATTCAGGTTCTAAATCAGATTTTTTAAAAATATTCTTCATTTCTGTACTATTCTGTACTATACATTTCTGCGAATTTTGATTTATGTATTTGGAAGGTAAATGATGATCATAAATTCATCAAATGGCAAGATTTCTGAGAATGGGTAATTTGGGATATCTTGTAGAAAATGAACGTTATGGTAACGTAACGTAAATAAAGTAACGTAAATAGGATGCAAACAATGAAGAAGTTAGCCTACAAGCATTTCTATCATCAAATTTTCTCATTAGATTCAAAATAAACAACAAAAATGTAAAACGCTTTTATTATTTATTTATTTATTTATTTATAAATTGAGATCATCTCCTTTTAACTCAAAAAATAGAAAGAATTTGAAATTATTAATCCGCGATTAGAAGATGATACAAATAAATTGTATCTTTTAGTCAATCGAATGAAGAAATTTATAACAAGCTGTTAGGTACTAAATAATTGCAGCTTAAATAAGTTTTATTTGTAATTACGAAAAGCAATTAACATAATATAATATTGGAAGTATTTTATTATCCTAACACAAATATACTGTTTTAATGTCCTAAATGTCTGCAAATATATTTCCCAATATTAATAACTTCTAACAGAGAAAGGAAAATAAGGGATATGGATTAAAAAAATAATGTTCAGGTCATGAAATCAATTAATTAAAATCACTGACCTGGATCTTGAACGGCGATGAGAGGTATGGGACTGTAAACACTGCGTCTGGAATCTATAGGGGATTACATGCACAATGTCAGCCTTCCTGCTAACTCATTCAAAACACATTATTATATATACAAATATTACAACACAATTAATTGCTTAAAATTATTATTTCTATTTATTAAGTATTAGATACATGATTTTTTTTGCTATAAATAATTTCCTGTTATAATTGAGTATTAATTTTAATCGAAAAATTTGTATATGCATAAATAACAGCATATTTCTAATTGAAAAATTAAAAATAAAGCTGTTTTATAGTTAAATTATCAAAAAGAAAACTGTTTACGTTCTCACTGTGATTTTTTATTTTATTTTAAAAAAAGAAGATTAAGTTATCTTTACACGTGTTACATATTCAGTTTTTCCACACAATTTCAGTTTTCTTTGAGAAAAATAAAGTGCTTAATTTATTTAACTATATTTTATTTAACAAATATTGCATTAAAAATACAAATCAACTTATTCTTCTTTTCTCTGCTTTAACAAATAATCCTTAAATCTTTTTTAAAACAAATCTCATGCGGACCCCATATGGCTTCTTGTACGGCTTATTAAATTATACACATTTTTTACTGCGCTTCTTTTAATTTATTTCCTCCAATTATTCTAACTTAATGAACCAATCCCTCAAGGCAAGTCGGAAATGACATCAAAAATTGGAAATTTTGAAATAACGTATCCCGGTCAATTTTTGTCATTGGAAGTAAAACTTCTTGTACTTTACTTTTTCACAACGAATATAAAATTTTCCCAAATATAAGTATAGGAACTAGTTAGATTTCGTTATTTACCTAAAATTAATCTTTTTAAAAAAACTTACATTGCCAAAACATGAATACTTAATCATTTAAAGCACTTCTGTGATTAGAAGTGTATGACTATGACCAACAACTGCGAAAATAAAAACCGAAGAATAAGAAGCATGCATGCCGCATGAGGGGGTTGCTGATTGCAATAAAAAAGGAAAGTACAGAACTAGATGTTCTAATAGTCCCATATACAAAATTTCAAAGTTCTACGGCTAACCGTTTTAGTTTATTTCTTTTTTTTTATTTATTATTTATTTATTTAGTTATTTATTTTATTTTATTTATTTTTTGAGTAATGCAAGAATCATACGTACATATTTACATACAGATGTTAAGAAAAAATCCATTTTTAATCCATTTTACAATCCGTTTTGAACTAAAGAGTCCTTTATTCTCCCCGTATATACATATATCCCACAAAAAATGGCCAAAATGGATATTTCCATTGAAATCTGATAACCGAAAATTTTCGAGATTACAGTATTTCCTTTACTTTATACAAAGACGTAAAAAGGGAAGATTATCTAAATTTCTATCTTATTAGATCAAAATTTGTTCAAAATGTAGCTGAAAATAATTAGAACCTAAAACCTGTATTAATAGGAAATTGAACCATAACAATATTGTTATCCAAAAAACAAAGTGCAAGAAAAACTTTATAAAATGTCTTTGACGGTTTAAATTTTTTAATTTATATAATTTATTTTACTTTATCTATTTAAGTATTATCTTAAAAATTTGCCTTATAAATTGAAAATAAAATTTCTTCTGATGCCCATTTCGTGTTCTGTATTTTTTGATATGAATTTTTTAGTGCTTGCCTAATATCAAATTAATTTTTTACCTAAAATTAATCCTATAATTAAATTGTTAGTTTACATATCTGTAAAAAGTGTAATATTGCTTTGAAAAATATTTTTTAAACATATAGGAACTATTTCAAATTGTATTGTCATAGCATTTTATCATCACTACTAAATTCTATTTTTAATGCAGACCATAGAGGATATAGAGAAATAATCTGCAGATTTTTTAATCGAAACGCATATTAGTATATATTATAAAGTGTTAAAAAGATGTTTTTTATTAATTATACTATTGGCATAAACGTTAATAAAACACGCTGCAAAATATTATTAAGATGAATGAAAAGCCTGACTGAGAAACACTTTTTATTTCGTCAGGTAGGAAATTTTCCTTTTTCAAAATTGTGAAAACAATATTGTTGATTTCTGACGTTAAATTATTAGAACAAAGTGTTGCATGACGTGAGCGTGAAAAGTCTGTTTCAAACTGCAGTTTGAGGGTAAAATTCTAAAATGCATAAGCTTACTAATTTGTTGTTAAAAGGGAAATGTACAGGATTTTTTTCAAATAAGACTGGTAAGAGATTTCTCTTTTTCGAGAGGCATATTCACGAAAAAAAGTATATTTTAAGATAAATGTAAGGAAATAAAATTAATCGGTGTCATTATGCAGTTTATGTACCGGTACCTGACGTTCTAATTTTAGGATTGCTACCGCACGACCTCAGGACATCTTATTACTCATGCGTTTTGTTACTCCAAATGTTGCCACTGCACGAGACGTAACTTTTTCAATTTATCTTTCTCACAGTGCTGCTTTTTGACATGAACCTTTATCTTTTCAAATTTTATCTCTAAGTTTTCAATTTAACTTTTATAGCTGTTTAAAATGCTCAGAATAAATGAAATAAGCTTGCTTATATTAACAATGTATACCTCCTTTTAAATTTATATTGATTAAATTACTACCGTCTTTAAGTTTGATGAATTACTTTAACAATCAAACAGGTATAATTTATAAAACATTTTGTAATAAACCCCGCTGTTAATTATTATGAAGACTTGCGCTATTAGACTGTAAATAGAAAAGATGTTTCTAACCCCATATAATACGTACCTCTTGCCGTGTAATTTTCTGTTCTCGCAGTAAATTTTTAAATCTCAAACGAGAAATTAAAATGCTTATTTATTAGTCCAAAGAGGCTTTGTCCCTGAAGGACTTGTTTTCGTTTTGCGATTTTGAGTTGGTTCACTATAAATGTTCGTTTCCCTTTTCAAACTGTTGCCACCAAATGTTAGAGTCCTGCATTATATAAATGTTCGTTTCACTTTTCAAACTGTTGCCACCAAATGTTAAAGTCCTACATTATATTTGAAGAAATTAAATAATGAAAAATCTGCATAAATGTATATATATTTCTCGCATCGTGATAAAACAACGGTACATAGAGCCATCGAATTTTGAATGACGTAATCCTACTGCGAATATGGGCATGTGGAAGGTGGTGTGGCTGCAGCGGACGTGGTCAGAGGGGACACTTCGAAACTCATCGTGGTTAGAGAGAACACATTTTTTCCCCATCTTAGAACAGATAAAGGGTGCAGATAAATAAATACTTTTAAAGATCACAAATATAATTTTAAACAGTATTTTAAGTGGCAAATCTCTTTCAAGTGGGATAACTTTTTTTACCGAAGTTTTCTGTTTTTGCACTCGATTATCGAATTACAAGGTACTGGAATTATTATTCGCACTGGAGCATGTCAGTATTTTAGTAATGAAATCATAACCTTTCTGATATAATTCTGAAAGTTCTTCTTGAAATATCTGGGGAACGGGAACTGATATTTCTTCTCGGACTGTCTTTCTGCAAGTCTCTAACTTCCATCTCAGCAATGTTTGGCACACAGGAATACTTAGTTTTCTTCATGGAATGTTTAGTTTTCAGGAACGTTTAGTTTCGTATTGAAAATTTGTCTTTAGATTTCCTTTACAACGACCTGTCTTCTTATATACCCAACTCATTCCTAATTTTCTTTTTTCTGTGTAAACGGTGTTAGTAATCATCTAGAACTAAACATTCTTTTCCTTTTTCTGTAGAGAGTAATTTTGTTGAAATGGCTATGGATTCCACCACAAATTTTTTTCGAGGCTATAAAACGACATACACACTTCATAAGGATCAAACATTTACTGAGAAAATATGAAAAAACTTTTGTCTTAAAAATATCGGCTTATCTCTGCATCAGGTGCAAAGCTCAAAACTACACAATCGATGACACATGACTAATTAGGTAAACAATACAATAGGTGCAAGAATGTCCGCTCTGCCCACCCAGCTACCCTCACGTGTCCGCTGTAGCCACTGTCCGCTCTGACCACGTAACCATGTAGAAGCCCAAATTTAAAATTTGGAATTTGTTTTATTATTGATTTCACATTTCGTAAATCTTTAACAAATTTTTGATTAACAAACTCAAGGATTTCAAAGAGAGCAATGGCAACGTTGTAAAAAAAAAAAAAAAAAAAAAAAAAAAAAAAAAAAAAAAATCTCCAACGCGTGAGACTGCATATTGGAAATTCTAAAAATATGCTCAATTTAAAACTATTTTGCGATATTGCTCTTGAACTTAATTTTATGGTTTAAGTGCGAAGAACGTGATATTTAACAAATAAAGGTAACAGATAAAATGTTTAAAAAACGCCCCTTTGGACGTAATTTAAAATCTGAAATCTTTCAGATTTTTTTTTTTTTTTTTTGTATTATATGATTGAAATAATCTATATGTATCTCTAATTGCTTAAACGGCTATTTTGCACCAGTTCGTAGTATTGTAAACAATATTTCCTTTGTGAGGAAGAGGAACAATCCGATGAAATCTCACTGTGGTTCACATTTCCCACGGGTCCGGGAGCCTCAGAGAGCTCCCCCCTTTCCCGCCACAGGAATCATAAGGATATTTATCCTCACCCCAGTATACAGGGACACAATTGAGAGATCTCATTAGTATAGTTGTCGACATGCGTCATACGACCAGAAACAGGAATAGCTTACGCAGAACAGGGACCAGGGTGTTTATGACGAATTATGATTTCCCCCAAATTCACACAAGGGATACACTTTGTATGAAGTTCTGTATTTATAGGTCAGATTTTCTTCAAACTGGGTTAGTTATTAAATGAATGGCGATAAATAGGGGGCAACAGAATAGCCATGAAAATATCAGATGATGGTACCATATGAAAAGAATAAAACAGTTTTTTAGAATAAAAACAAAGGTAATTTGCAGTCATGAAAAAAGAATTGATTAGAATGCACCATGCCATTTATAGAAATGTATATTTAATTCAAATATTTATGTTATTTTTGTAAGAATATTTACAAGAA